GGGGGAGGGCGGGCGGCGGCGGCTGGCTGTATATATCTCCGCGCACCCCGCCAGGTCGCGCACAGCGCCCCGAGCCCAGGCGCCTCCCCGCCCCCCTCCCCGCGCTCCGCGGCGGCGGCGGCGGCAGCAGTAGCAGCAATATGGCTGTTGATGGGTGTTCGGGGTGGCGCTGGCGGCGGGAGGAGCTCCCCCGAGCCCCTGCGCCGGCTGCCCGTTGCTAGCTATGGCAAATGGTGGCGGCGGCGGCGGCAGCAGCGGCGGCGGCGGCGGCGGCGGCGGAGGCAGCAGTCTTAGAATGAGTAGCAATATCCACGCGAACCATCTCAGCCTAGACGCGTCCTCCTCTTCCTCCTCTTCTTCATCCTCCTCCTCTTCCTCCTCGTCCTCGGTCCACGAGCCCAAGATGGATGCGCTCATCATCCCGGTGACCATGGAGGTGCCATGCGACAGCCGTGGCCAACGCATGTGGTGGGCTTTCCTGGCCTCCTCTATGGTGACTTTCTTCGGGGGCCTCTTCATCATCCTGCTCTGGCGGACGCTCAAGTACCTGTGGACCGTTTGCTGCCACTGCGGGGGCAAGACGAAGGTAAGGCGCGCCCCGGGCGCCCGCCCCTCGCGCCAGCCCCGCCGCTTCTCGGCGTCCCCGGCAGCCCACCCCCTCGCTCCTCACAGCGCCGAGCCTCCCTCCATCCCTGCCTGCCGTCCCCTCGCCGCTTTCGCTTCCCTGCGCTCTCCCTGTGCCTTCCGATTGGGGCAGCGGGCGGCGCGCCGGGGGTGAGGAGCTGCCCCTAACCGGTGCGCCCCAGGACGCGGATCCCCAATCCTGACCCCTTGTTTATTGTAGGGCTGTGTGCTGCCGCGGTTCGGGCCGTGGTCGGGTACTCGCGCCGTTCGGGTGCTGTGGTTTGGGGTAGGGAGAGCCAATCCCGCGGGCGCCGAGAAAGCTGGGGGCCGCTGGGTGCGTGTTTCTCACGGCTCCCCTGCCGCGGCTCGGCTTCTGGCGGTGGGCGAGGGCGACCACACAAGCCCGCACTTCAGAAACCTGTTGGGGAGATGTGTTAGTGGAGTCAGAAGAAAGGGAAAATCCTTTGGGCAAGGGAGAAAACCTTTCGGACTAGGGAATCCCCGGGGAGGAACATGGCCAGAGGAAGTGGGGAGGATCTGGGGGGGTCGAGAGAAAGTTGGGGAGATGCACCCCATTTTTGGAGGCAACCATGGAGGCTGCCACTTTAGGAGTGTGGTGAGGTCGCACATCTCCTGTCACCTCCCTCTCCATCCTTTGAGATATTCTCATGGAACATACCCCTCCACCTCAAGTTCTGGGGCTTCTGTATTCTCGCCCCCACGCCACCCCCTTTAGGTCCTTGGAAATGCCACCAGCAGCGTGGAGCTGGAGCAGCAGGTCCGCGGGAGAGCCGGCCAAGGCCGGGGTTTCACGCGGAGCCTCCACTCTGACGCTTTTGAGGTGACTGGATGTCAGGTTAGGCTATTCCTGGCGCAGAGACGCCCACCAGCACTGAGCCTCACTACGCGTTATGTATGGTTGCTAGGCTGACTGCCTGGTCTGTCACCAGGTCTCTACAGATGTCCCCTTTTCCCTCCACTGGCTGAAGGTTAGGGGCGGGGGCAGTTTTTCATAGAAAACTGCAGAATAAAAAAAAAAGAAAACGGGAAAAAAAGAGTGACCCAAGCTACTTTCTGTTTGAGTAATTCCCATCCTAGGGGACTTCCCAGTGCCAACATTTTCAGAGGGAAGGAAGATCAAGGGGAATAGGAGAACAGTGCAAGGGAGAGGCAGCGCTCCCTCACAAGCTCACACCTTTTCTAGGAAAGTTAATCCAAGGACCCCTCAAACTTCCACAGGGCACAGCAACTTGTCGCAGGCGCCTTAGTTGCTTCAGGAAGAAGCAGGGAAGCCAGGGGCTGTGGGTGACACACCAGGGTGAACCAAAGCTCCCTCTCCTGATCATTAATTATACTTCGCGTTGGGTGCTGGAGCTCAGCTGTGTTTTGTGGTAGCACATTTGTGTTTTGGAAAATACTGGTGTGTTGGAAATAGGGGAGAAAAATAGAAGCCATCACTCTCTCTCTTCCTCCTCCGGAAGCCTCCAGATGTTGCCCAGCAAGCTTTCTTTGGAGTTACTTTCTCTGCCATAGAGGTTTTTAGCCGTCAAGGTGGAAAACCTCTGCGTCCCAGAGAAGCTGTCAGATTACGCAGAATCCCACCGGTGAGACCCTGAGACCATGCCCCTTGCCTAGCCCTCCACCTAACAACTGCTTATTCATGGAGCCTTCTGATCCGCACATTTCCTCTCCTCCGCCTCCCCCACAGTCTTCAGCCCTGGAGTTTATTTTCCTCTGCTGAGAATTCAGTGTCTGCCCTTAGGGGAAAGATAGCTCATAGTTGTGCACATCTAAAATGTTCTTTACGCTGAGTGATTCTGGTGAACTTTTTAACAGCCTCCTTATCCATAAGGAACTGGGCGATAACTTTTTTGTCAGGGAGCCGAAATACGTTTCGAAAGTGTTTTCCGTGTTCCTGGTGTTTTAATCAGTCTCTAAGTTTTTTTACTCGAGGGGCTTCATCAATGCCACTGCAGTGCCTGCGATGAAATGCTGATCGTATTGTTCACATAAAGAATCTCTCTCCTAAATGATGACCAAGCATTATGTCTGTCAGTTTTCTCCAGAAAATAGGTATTTTTGGCAATTATCATTAGAAAAAGCAATCCCTACATATCAGGCTATATTTTGTAGCTCCAAGACCTGCTGAGTTGACATAACTGGAAGTTTCTACAAAGAATCAACCTGGGGAGAGAGCTGCTTGCAGTTGGCTGGGAATACGTGAGGCCGATGTGAATCAGGTCACTTTGGATACCATTAGAGTTCATTTAAAACCATGTTTAGAATCTTTTAATACTTGCCCCTTGATCTGCTCAATTAAACAGCGTAGCCAGCTCATTATACCCAGTAATAACAACTTAGGTCTTTTACAAGCTTTCCTGTCTACCCTGGAGGTCTGTATTTTTTCTGCAGTCATCGTTTTTTTTTGCCCTTCATTCTTTTTGCTTTCCAAGTATTTGGTCGTTGTCGGGATGCTGTTCATAAGGCTGCATTTGGCTTGAGCTTGGAATAATTATTTTAGTGCTGGGTTTCCCATGCAAACCTAGGTTGCTTTTCTGCAGAAGTCTACCAGCCCTCAGATATGTTCAGCCTCACCTTCATTCAGTCCCAGCATGGTTGGACCAGGAGCTGGGGTCCAGTAAAAGGCTAGTCGTTTTAGCATCAGAAATTCCATGGGAGAGAAGTTTCAGCAGGGAGCTGTGGTACCATAAGCCTTCTGTCTCAGGGATCACATCGTCCTTTTTGATCAAAGGAACCTGGGGCTGTGGGTGTGCATCATGCTTCATCTCATCATTAATACCTTTGGTCTCTGAATCCCAAAATGGTGAATGACTCTACTATTTCGAAAAGAATTTTTTTTTTTTGAAATAGGAAAACGAATCACATTTTCTTGCTGTTGGAGAACTTGGGCACCATTACCCCAGGACTATGTTCTTTGCTGTATTTTCTCACATGATTGTTTTTTCTCTGTTGAGTTTCATCAGAGCTCTCTCCTTACTAGGTCACGATGTTGTGAGGTCCAATCCAGCAGTGCACAGGGAGCTGCTCTGGCAGCCTGAGTAAGACCATGACCTTGAAGAAGTCATTTAACCTCTCTGGTCTCTCTTTTCTTGTGTTTAAAATGTGGCGATTGAATCGTGTGTGTTCTAATGCCCCTTCCTGCTCTCTGATTCCATGTCAGAAAGAGGAAGGAGTTCACAAACTATGGGTAAAGTTTCTATAATAGCTCAGAATGTGTTTTGCAATTCTCCAGCAATTTCTGTAGGAATTCAGCCTCAGAGCGCTTAGGTATATGTGTTTTTACTTCCATCACCTGCTCCTCTTTTAGCACACGGTCTCCTTTTTTCTTTCAGTTAGTCTGGGGAAACTGAGGCTAGCTTCCTATGGAGCCGTGGTTTGCTGAGGGGCCTGCAAGTGGCCAGGCATGGACTTACTTCTGCCCTCAGCTTGAGCTAGCCTCCCTGTAGAAGTTTGGGCTTGATTGAGGCTGGTCTGCATGGAATGAATTATGGAGGTATTGTCTCCATGGCTGTGTCTGAGAAAACAACACATTGACTCTGTCAGGCTTGTGACTAATATAAATATCAGATCCCATTACGGCTTGGTAATTACCCAGGGTCTGGCTTGACGCATCCAATCAGGGCTGGGGCTTTAGTGCCTCAGAATTCTTGATGCCAGATTGGCCCCGGTGTTTCATCTCATCCTGGGGATCAGCTGCATCCGACGACCTTCAGATACTCTGATAAGATCACTTAGGGAGGCCTTAGAGAAGGCCTCAGGTCCTGGTCCAGCTGACCTTCTTTTGTCCAGAGAGCTTTTTGCCTCTTATGCCTGGCTCTCTTTATGGAAATGCACACTTGAGTAAAGACTGCAATCAGACCCAAGTGCAAATCGTGGATCTCACACTTATTAGCAGGGCATCTTGGTCTAGCAACCACGTCCAGCCTTCATTTGTTCATCTGTAAAAAGAGTATAATGATGCTTATTATGAGGAGTGGCCATAATGGGTATATAGCATCCCACAAATGCCTGGCATTTAGCAGGCCTCCTGTAAAGGGAGCTGCTATAGCTCCACAAAGTGCTGAGTTTATTTTCTCTTTGATTCCTTGAACTTTTGGCCCCTGTAGGGCACAGATTACAACAAATAGAACTTGTGAGCCAAAAAGAACCTCTAGACCCTGAAGTCTGTTGTCAACCAGTTAGAGTCAGACTGAGATTTGGGCTCATGGCTCTTGGCTGTTACAAGGCTGGAAAATCGGGGAGGGGCCTGGCGGGCTGGTGGGGAAGTTACTGCCAGCATTGACACTGTGGGGTTCCAGGAGTGGTGCCCACCAGAAGTGAAGTGTTTGGTGGGCTGGTGTGGCTGTCTAGCATCCCTTGAGAAGGGACAGATTCCATCCCTGTTATCCCCAGTCTGGCGCTCACAGACCTGTTTCTCCGATAACGTAAATTTCTTAGCCAGGGTGCTCTCTGCCTGGACCAGCTTTACCTCGACAGCCCCAGAGCAGTGTTTCCCAAAGTGTGTTCTGTGCAGCACTTGCCCTTAAAGTTACCTTGTGAAAAAAATGGAGATCATGAATATCTGAGCACCCCTGGAGAGTTCCTGCACAGGCTTGGGGAAGGCCCCGTGGAGAAGTTGGTTAAACTGCTCCTGACTGCACGCTGAGAGCAGCCTTGCCTGGAGGTGAAGCCTGCTTGTGCAGTACCCAAGAGTCAGCCTGTGACCTTGGGCAAGGACTCCACTGCTTTGTGACTCCGTTTCCTCATCTGCAAATTGGGGATTGTAATAGAGCACAGCCCAATGGGATAGGTATTCTCAGTCACCCCATTTTATAGGGTTTCCTAGGAGGACACAGTGCCCGCAAGCTTTCAGGTGCCCAGGGGCCTTGTCCAAACGTGCACCAGGAAGAAGGGTAGAGCTGCCCTGCATTTGGCCTGGGGGAAGAAGGATGCCAAAACCAA